CTTTTTTTGATTATCTGACCAATCATCTATCTTCAATATTTATCAGAATCATGACATACTGATGTATTTATTCTTCTGTCCTGCTCTTTCACCAATTTTCTTTAAGTTTAAATAAAGACAATCATGCTCTTTTTTAAAACTTATTACAGCTCAAAGAAAACAAATGTGTGCGGCAACTGCCTCGTGGGTTAAAGAGTCAACAGTACTATTTAGTAAATTAAAGTCCATTGGTTTTGAGAGCAAATAGAGCATTTGTGTAGACACTCACGGGTGGAAGAGTTGCAATAGCTTCCTTTATCTCAGACAGTATAATATGACGATAGATGTTCCTGGGAACATTCTGGTATCTAATCCTTCTCCTGGAATGGGAAAACATGTTAACAATCTCAGACACAGGAATACTTTTTCTCATAATCTCGTATAACACTAATAGGCAATGGTGCTATGAAAGGATAAATAGTCTCTCACTCCTGTCCTTGTTAAGTGGATAGTTTATTTTTAAAGAGATGATACAGGCATGATATGAAATTCTATCATTCTATGTTGCAGCCATCTTGCATTCTATGGTTAAGGAGGCTCCCTGAATTTGACAGGAGGGGAAGGAAAACAAATCATACACATCAATGTTTTGAATCTAGACTCAGAAGTGATTTTCTTCAAAAACATGCTAAATATTATTTGTACTTATTAAAAGCAAGATTAAAGAAACTCAATGAGATAAAACCAGGAGAGGTGATGGCCTAGTGGTATTATCACTGGACTGTTAATCCAGAGACCCATTTAATATTCCAGGGATCTGGGTTCAAATCCTGCCATGGCAGAATTTGAATTCAACCAATTAATTAAGAGTCTAATGATGACCATGAATCCGTTGTCGATTGTTGGGAAAAACCCATCTGGTTCACAAGTGTCCCTTAGGGAAGGAAACTGCCATCCTTACATATTCTGGCCTACGATGTGACTCACAGCAATGTGGTTGACTTTTAGCAGCCCTCTAGGCAAATTAGGGATGGGCAATAAATGCTAGCCGAGCCAGCAATACCCTCATCCCGTGAATGACTAAAGGAGCAATGATCTTATTTTCCAAAGTTTAAAAAAAAAATGCAGACCTCTGAGCTATTTAAAAATAGAAACATATTGTGAAAACACTGGACCCCTAATTAGGAGAAGAGTTTCTGGAAGTAGGATTATGAAAAAGGGCATGGTTGAGCCTCCTCGCTCACTAATTTTGGTTGTTCACTACTTCTAATATGTAGCAAGTCAAATACACTTTCTAAAACTGAGCAGGGTTTCAGGTTTATAAAAACGAGAGATTCTGCAGGCATAGTGTAGACATGTCTGCACAAAGGAAAAGGGCAGTACTGCCAGAAGCATACAAGTTAAGATAATGCAGAAAAATAGAGCAAACTGCAGTCACAAAAAAAAAGTAATACTTTAGAAACCTTCTAAAAAGGATAGGGCCTATCAGACGTACATGGCAACGTGTGTGTAGATGTAAGGGTGTGGGGCTGGGTGTGTAATGAGCACTTTGTCTCTGCCTTCACAAGGGGGAGTGTTGATTCAGATACTCTAGTCAGAGGTGTATGAAACGTTTGATAAGCATAATAGGAGAATCACTGGAGAGACTGACCAAGTTGAAGGTAGGTAAATAACCAGAGCCAGATGTATTGCATCCTAAGCTGTTAAATAAAGCCAAGGAGGAATCAGCAGATTCTCAGAGAATCATTTTCCAATTCTCAGTAGATACAAGTGAGGTACCAGAAGGTCAGAGGTTTCCAAACACTACCATTATTCCAAAAGGGTATGTGGTATAAAGCAAATTAATAGAGGCCAGTCAGTCTGACCTCAGTGGTGGACAAATTAATGGTATCAATACTGAGATAGCATGAACTCTACTTAGAACAGCACAGATTAATTAGAGAATAGGCATAGTTTTGTTAGGAGAAGGTCATGTCTAATGAACTTCACTGAGATTTTTGAGGTAATAAAAGAAGGACTAACGAAGACAGTGCAGTAGACATTGTCTACATAGCTTTTAGTGAGGCATTTGATACGGTTCCACATGGCAGACCGGAAAGAAAAGTTAAAGCCCGTCGGATACAGGGGAATGCAGTGAGTTGATTCCAAAATTGATTCAGTGACAAAAAATCAATAAGAAATGGGTGTTAAGATGATCTTGCGAATGGAAAGCAGTTTCCAGTGTTCCACAGGATGGCATTGGTTCCCTTACCGTTTGTGTTATATAATGATTCTGACTTAAATGTGGGAGGCATAATTGAGAAATTTGCGGACAACACAAACAATAGCCATGTGCTTGAAAGTAGAGAGAATGGCTGTCAATGCAGAATATCAATGGTTTGGTTCAGTGGGTGGAAAAGTGGTAAATGGAATTCAATCCAAAGAAGTGTGGCATTATGTATTTAGTGAGGGCAAATAAAAGTGTGGAGTACATATAAACAAGAGTGTAATGAGAGGAGAAGGGAATGACAGACCTTGAAATGCATGTCCACAGGTCCCTGGAAGATGGCAGGACTGATACATAGGTGGCAAAGAAACCATGTGGGATGTTTTCCTTCACTGGGTGAGGTACTGAATTCAAAAGCTGGGATCCAATGTTGGAAGTTGTCTACACAGTTCTGGTCACCTTATTATAGGAAGGACATAATTCTCTAGACAATACGGAGGAAATGTACAAGAATGTTGCCAGGGCTTGAAAATTGTAGCTAAGAGGAAACATTGCATGAGCTGTGGTTATTTTCCATAGAACAGGAAAGGCTCAGGGTGGCTTAATCATTGTGTATACAGTATTGAGAGACTTACATAGAGTGGACAGGAAATACCTGTTTGCCCTAGTGGAGAGGTCAATTACAGGGACACGGATTTGAGATGATTGTTAGAAAGATTAGAGGGGGCAGAAGGGAGGCCCTTTTCACTCAGAGGATGGTTGATGTCTGGAACTCTCACACCCAACTGACTTACAAAGGAACCTGGATTTGCTTCCAACATGGTGCAGTCTACAAGGCAGGGACAAGCACATTCACAATGGGCTGGCTGGCCTCTTTTTGTGTCCCAACTTTTCAATGAATCTAAAACACTGCAGTAATTTTCATATTAATTTATAAGAACTGAAGCTCAAAGATAAAGAGGAGTCTCTATCAGGCATATATATGTATAATAAGGTCATGTTTCTTCAGGGACAGTCTTCTCTGTCCAATCTATCCAAGCCCCTCATTACTTTATGCACCTTTATTAAGTCACCCTAAGCTTCTCATCTTTTAAGGAAAACAACCATAGCCTCTAACCTTTCCCCATAGCTGCAACTTTAAAGTCCTAGCAACGTGGCTTTAGGTGTAATGGCCAATCTGATACAAACTGTGCTTTAATATTCTGTTAGCTTTGCAAAGTGAAGCCATGCTTCAAATTTCCACTCAAAGCCATTTGCAAAGCACTGAAATTGACTCTTTCATGTACCGGCACAATCAGGCAGTGTAAATTGCAAGTAATTTCATAATTTTCTCCAATATCAAACAAAATACACTTGCGTATTTAAGATTGATAATTTGAAGTTTCAAAAATATGATGACAGAAAACTAAGCACTTAATAAAAATGTTTAATGCATCACGTGATTGACAAGTTATACAAGTCTTAAAACTAAGTTGTTAGTTTCATTTGTGCACGCTCATGAGTTTCTTAGCAAACTAAATTTCTATCAATATTTAAAAATCTCTTAAAAATGCCTACTAGTACATTTGTGTCTAAAGACACTTATTTTGATGAGCTACTTCATACGACTGGAAATGAGTAGATACTCATTGCATTTATCAGTCTGTTCTGCATGTGGCACGTTTGTAGATCCTGCTCAGATTTCTGCACAATGTTTTACAAACAAGAATAAAAAAAAATCACTTTACATTGGTAGTGAGCTGGGATCAATGAGGAAGAAAAGCTACTTGAATTAAGTTTATAAGCCAAGTTCATCACTTATTGTTTACAGAGTAATTTTAAGGGAACATACAATGGAATTGAGGAATTGTCACATCAGTATCATGGAAAATGCTTTTGATAGAGTATCGTTAAGAGAAAATGTTTTACTTTGGAGAGGTAGTGATTTAGTGGTAATGTCACTGGACTGATAATTCATACCCACATGGCAGATAGTGAAATTTGAATTCAGTAAAAGCTGGCAGTTAAAAAAAACTCCATGTCTAATGGTGACCATGTAGCCATTGTCGATTGTGTTAAAAACCAAGATGGTTCACTAATGTGACTCCAGATGCACAGAATTGTGGTTGGCTCTTAATTACCTTTTGAAATGGCCTACAGAGTCAACCAGTTCAACTGACAATTGGGGATGGGCAACAAATGCTGGCTTTCCTAGCAATGCCCAGGAAAAAGTAAAACAAATAGTGAATAATGCCTTCCTGCTCCTATGATGCTGCTTGGCCTGCTGTGTTCATCCAGCTCTACACCTTGTTATCTCAGTGAATAACGCATGTAGCCAATGAGGGGAAAAAAAAACTCTTGTCATAAGAATGATAAGACAACTAAGCCATTCATATGCCATCCAAAATAAGTTGGAAACATAAAAGATAAATACAATCAGAAACAATTCAAATATTCCCAGGGATGTGTACGATTTCTCATGTTTTTACAAAAGGGAAATAATAGACTTGACAGCCAGCCAGATAGATGAATAAATTAAATGTGATTAAACATCTAGATAGAGATAGGACAGGATGAGGTGAATACCCTGAAGCAAACTGTTAATCAGAGGCAAGTACTAGCTGATGCACCGCAGATAAAAAGTTTACAACCCGATATTAGAATTAGACTTGAAGAGAAATGGTAGTGGATAACTGTTCATCAGACCTGTCAATGCTGGTGAGGGCAACAATTTTATTTACCTCTCATTTAACCACAGTCTTCCAGTTACTAAAAATATATTACCAAATTTTTTCAGAATGGCAATATAACTTAAAATTCTGGCTTCATGAAATACCTACTTGTTTTCAGACTCCTGTACAAGTGGGTCATTTGCATCTACTCGTCTTAGAACCTCCTTCACGTTCTCTTCCAACCAAGACATGACTCTTGGTTCCTTCCAGAGCATCCAGTTCCTTCCAATAAATAGCATCACCAACTGCTTTAGTGCATTTGGCTGTCTGCAGCAGGGTTGGGGAGTGGAGGGAGGGGAGACAAGAAGGCCATCATCAACAACATTGAATCATAGCGGTTGCAGCACTGAACAGGGACATTCAGCCAGGTGTCTGAACTGGCTCTTTGCAACAGCAACTTAGCTATTGTTGTCTCACTCCCCTTCCCTTTCCCTGTAGTCTTGCAAATCTTCTCTTCTGAAACTTATCCAAATCTCTTCTAAAAGCTACAATTGAATCCATCCCCACCACGATATTAAATCAAAATTAGAAGCCGCATGAAAAAGGTTTTCCTCATGTCATTGTTGTTCTTTAGACATTCATCTCAAGTTGATGCTCTCTGGTTCGCAACCTGTCCACCAATGGGAACAATTTCTCTTCATCTACTGCATTCATATCCCTATTGGTTCTGAACAATTCTAGCAAAACCTCCTGTCTACTTTACTCACCAAGAACAAATCCAGCTTCTGTAATCTATCTACATAACTAAGTCTTTCATCCCAGGAATTATTCTTGTAAATCTTTTCTACAGCCTCTCTAATGTGTTCACTTCCTTCCAGGAATGTGTTGCTGGAATTGGAAACAATACTTTAGTCAAGGCCAACCTGTATTTTGTAAAGGTTTTCATAACTTCCTTGCTTTTGGACACCAAGCCTCTTTTTATAAAGTCCGGAATATGTTGAATGCCTTTTAAACTATTGTCTTTACTGCCTTACCACATTTAATAATTGGTTTCTCTGTTACTGCGCACCCATAGAATTGTACACTTCCCCTTTATATTACCTCTTCAACTTGAATGTAGTCCCTCACAGCATTATTTTCATCCACTAAGTATCTGCTCATTCCACCAGTTTGTTGTTTTGAACCTATAGCTATCTTCCTCCCTGTTCTCAATACTTCCAAATAGTGTGTAATTTGCATGCCTTGCTCCAATTGCTGATCAAAAGAAATTCTAATTAGACTATTACTTCCTCTACACAGAATTTATCAATTGGGACTATCCTCACTCAAAGGGCTGTGAATCTTTGGAGTTTTCAGCTCAATAGTTGTGGAGTCACCAATGAATACATTTAAGCTAGAATAGACAGGCTTCGAGTATCTTAGAATCAAGAGATAAGGAAAGTGGGCAGGAAAGTGAAGTTAAGGCCCAAAAATCAGCCAAGATTAAACTGAATGGCAGAGCAGGCTCGAAAGGCCATATGGTCTACTCCCGTCCCGAATGTAAAATTAACATTTCGTTACTCGAGCAGTTTCTTTCATGATTCCTACCTTATCTGTACATCAAATCCAAAATACTTGTGCGACAACACAGCCTGGTCTGCTTGCACACTGCAAAGATCCAGTAATGGCATCAGTACTGGAAAGAAATACAAAGAACTGAATGATCTTAACATAGCACTATTTTCCATAGTTAAGAGGTGAAATCTGGATATGCTTTTCCAGCTAACAGTAGTTTTCCAGAATAATTAAATATACAGCTTTTTCCTCCACTGTTGTGGCAATATATTACTAATGCAATACCAAGACAACAAATAGAATATTGGAAATTATGTGGAAAACAATCATGCCTGTAGTGACTAGCAGGAGCATCCGTGACAACGATGGGTAAAATGTTATTCTTCAAATTTCATTGGAAGGTGTTAGGAATATAATGGCTTTATAAAGTTTACTTTAAACTATAGAATTTGGGTACTAAAGGATAAATAGCTATCATTTCTGTCCAGATATGACACACATAATTTACAGTCTCAGGGAGATGGGTTCTGAGAGCATAAGCCATAGCAAGAGACAGAGGCAGACAGAAGCCAATCTCGATTATTCACTATGCAGAATGCAGGCAGGAGCTCAAGCTTGGATTGAAGAAACCATGAATGAGGGGGCTGGAAGACTGCCTTACTATGGCCCATGGGAAGAATTTCCAAAGTAAATTTAGCTGCAAAAGTTAGCGCAATGATTGGAAGTTATTCAGCCCATTGAGTCAGCTCTGCCATTCAATGAGATCATAGCTGATCCGATAATCCTCAAGTGCACTTTCCTGCCTTTTCCCCATTACCCTTGATTCCCTTACCGATTAAAAATCACAGTATTGAATATATTAATGACCCAGCATCTCCAGACCTCTGTGGTAAAGTACTCCACAGATTCACCACCTTCTTTGAGAAGAAACTCATCATTTTTTTCCAAATTGGACAACTCCTTTTTTTGAGATTATGCCCTGTGGTCTGAAACAAAGAGAAAAAAACCTTTCCTGTCAAATCACCTAAGAGTTATGCTTCAACAAGGTTGCCTCTCTTCTAAATGAGTAAAGACCCAACCTATTCAAGCTCTCCTCACAATACAGTCCCTCCATACTTCAGATCAATCTGGTCATCCTTCTCTGGACCGTCTCCAATCCCAGAAATGCTCTCCTTCAACAAAGGGATTAAAACTGTTCACAGTATTCCAACTGTGGTCTAACTAGTGCCTTGTACAATTTTAGCAAGCCTTCCCTATTTTTATACTCCATTTCCTTTGAAATTAAGGCCAACATTCTCTTTGCCTTCCCTAATACCTGAACTTGTAGTTTTTGTGTTTTATGCGAGGACTCCTAAATCCCCCTCTGTTATAGCTTTGTACAGTCTTTCTCCAAAGTAATATGCAGTGCTATTCCTTTCAAAGTGCACAACCTCACAATTCCCCCATTTATAGCTTATCTACAAAGGTTTTGCTCACTAGCTTACTTTTCTATATCATTCTACATGCTCTTCCACCCTCACCACTTTCCTTCCCATCTATTTTTGTAACATCTGTAAACTTGGGATAGCATATTCGCTTTCCTTGTCCAAGTCATCAATATATATTATAAATAAGAAAGTAAACCATGGAGGGGAACCTTCAGTCATTTTTTAAAAAAAGAGAGGAGATAGTGGAATAGTAGTGATGCCACTGGGCTAGTAATCCAAATGTCATGTTAATATTCTGCAAATGTAGGTTCTGATCTCACCTTATCAGGTGAAGAAATTTGAATTAAAAATCTGCAATTCTGCAATTAAAAGCTGGCTTAATGACAACCATGTAACCATTGCTGATTGTTGTAGGAACCTTTCCACTTCTAATGTCCTTTAGTGGAAAAAAGTCTACCACCCTTACCAGGCCTATGTGTCACTCCAGGCCCACAACAATGGGTTTGACCCTTTAAAATGGTCCAACAATTGCAGGGCAATGAATGCCGACCTTACCGGTGATGCCTACATTCCACATATGATTTTTAACAAAATTAAATGGAGGATCTATTCCGTAGTTTAAAGCATAGTTTGTCTAATGAAGTATTTAGACCATGTTGCTTTTAGTTAGTTTATTGCAGTAAAAATCTTAAAATTTGAAACTTTGTAATCCTTCCAATCACTGACTCACAACTGAACTATAACTTATCAGTTGCTATACAGATCTTTGTCTTTAAATAAATTTCATTTTGCTAGATATTCAAATTTTTGAATGAAACAGTGGTTCAAGTTTTCATACAGAAAGCTGTTTGCGTTTCTCCATTTGCTACCATGAATACCTCCAATCATTTCCCAAATCTTTGAGTGGTTTTGACCCAACTTCACATAGATCAAATGATTAAGTCTGTGCTTATGCCCAGCTCCCTCCATTTATAATCCATGTAATTTGTGGACACAAATATTGTCTCATCTAGATAAAAAGATAGGCATTTCCTGCAAAACTAGCCAGCCAGTCATCACATGTTAAATGAAGCCACCAATTTGGAATAACCTAGCTATAATACACATTACGCACTGATGTATATATATTTTGGAATTGCACCAACAAAACTTGAAGTAGCAATGGGATACAACAAATTTGAAGCTGTCACATAGTCAGTTTTCAACATTTTAATGATGCTACAATTCCTCTAGCTTAAGTGAGATACAAAGCCTCCTAAACCTTACAACACTGCTGAGCAACCATCTGTTTCAAATCAAAGTACACAAGTGGTGAACCAGTAATTTAGTGCCTTGCAGTTTTAACGTGCAGTTGTACAATCTCAATCTTGATTTCTTTGGGAGATGCTGAACATAGACAAGACATTTCCACTACAAGCAGTGAGAAAATCTTGAACTTTAATTACCTCATATTCATAAGGTAGTTAAGAACATTAGAAAATTCTCAGCAGTAGGTCTCCAGCTACTTTCTCACCCAGGTAAAAAAGAATATAAAACATTCCCTCCACAATTCTCATCAAATAAAGCACACTATTATACATCATATTACAAGTATTATATATCCAGGTTTTGGGGGCATGGTTCAAAGTTTAGGGATTGCCCTTTTAGGTCAAAGATGAGGAATTTTTTTTCTAAAAAGATTTGTGACTTCAGATGGTAGAGTTAGACATTGTGAAACAAGGAAATCGGTGGGATTGGGGGGAGGATGGAAACATGAAATTCAAAACAAACTGATTAGTATGAATGGAGCAGGCTTGAGGCACTGAATGGCCTATTCCTGCTCATAATTCACATGTTCGGATGAATTATCCCAATTGGTACAGATGAGAAAGAATACACTATTCTTTAAAAAAGCTTGAAATATCAAAATATAACAAGACATTGCATACTGCCATGCATTACACATTGCTTGCATCAAGTATTATAAAAATACCTCAGTTTAAGCCATATCCTCTCACTGACATTATGCAAATACATATTTGTATATACAAAACTCTTTCTGCTCACCATCTAAAGGATCAATTTTGAAGTTGGCACAAGTTACATTTGTAGTTTGTCATGTTTTCTTATTGCTTCTTATATAATGACCACACACAAGATAATTATTTAACAGTTTTTAATAGCCTAACTTTCCATCAGTTTGTTAATTGCAAATCTATAAAAGTGATGTCAGATAGATTAACATGGAAAATATTCTAAAGATGAGATCTTTATTCAAAACCCATTGAAATTCTCAGCTAACAAGGGGTCAACACTTGACAACTTACCACTAGGAAACACAATGAGAGCATTTTGTATCAAACGCTTAGCTCGCTCTTGCTTTTGACAGCGCTCAGTATCTGACAGATCTTCTCGTTGACTTAGATGATAATAAGCCAATGGGACAGAGAATGCAAAATTAGGGAGCTGAGACAGATTCAAATGGAACTGAAAGACAGCAGAAAACAAACAAATATTACTGATAAACCTAGGACCAAGCATAATACAAACATCCAGTAGCACTACAGAGCTTTAACTCAATGTTGGTATAACTTGCTTTGAAGGATATTGCTGCTTTTGAAAAATTAATTTGTGGGGAATCACAATAATAAAAATTGGTACATACGCTACACATTAAATGAGAAATTACTTCAGTTTTCATATTTCTACTAGATTAAACCAGGATAAAAATTGAATTTTATATTCCCTTTAGTCACCTGCACTCAACACTGATCCACTTCATTTTAAGGAAAATCATATGCTCAAGTTCTCTAATGCCTCTGCTTAGCATACACTGACCAGAGACCCACAACATCAAGAGGAGATGCAGGCTTTCAGTTTCCATTTGTCCAATATTAATATAATAGTACAATATACGTCAAAGTTAAATCAGCCACTAAGTGCGACTTTATCAGTTTGTATTAGTTTCAAGTTGCATTTAGGATGCTATTTATAGTCAGTGTAAAACAGAAGTTCAAGCACAGGCCTTAGCAGGTGTAGTGCCCTGTTTCGCAAGAGAATCAAGCATCCCTCTCCCCAGCTAGGAATAGGATGAAGGCTCAAAAAAAAGTTTGTCAATATTCCCATTCCTGATTCCAACAAGCAAGCGCAATTGAAAAGTGCATATATTTTGTTATCGAGTGAGGAAAGAATTTAACATGACTATCATGCCCTAATAATAAATACATTGCCACAGCATATGAAGGGTAACTTGTGTGAAGTTAAATAAATATTAGATAGCAAAACCAAAACTAACAAGCAAATTAACAATGACTTGTTCTCACCTCCCATTCCTCATAAAGTCGTATTAAGAAAGCATATTCTCGTGCTCGCAATGCCAAAAAATCAATAATCAACAAAGCACATAGTGGATCTCTTTCAGGGTCCAGGCTGTGGAGGCAGATATCATGAATTAGGCTATGCCAGAATTACAGCAATATTTAGCTTCATTTCCCAACATACTGTTTTCAATTAATGCACAACATTTCCTATTTTCCAAAGCTATGTTAGTACACTTTAATGTCACGCCATTCTCTCAAAAAGTAAACTTATCTTGCAACTTTGGTGTTAATTAAATATATTTAGACACCATAGAATTTAGCAATTGAAGGCCTTCTTTGCAATCAAACTAAATTTAAACATTCACTCTTGGAGACCTAACGTAGGCTGAAGGAAAGGATTCTTTCGAACAGTATTAATTGTCCTCACTTTCTGTTGTTTGCAGAGCTCATTTGATCAGTTTCTAGTAAGATGTCAAGCAATTAAAGCAGAATACTTTGGGGTTTAATTTTTTTTAATTCTTTCATAGGATATGGGTAGTATTGGCAAAGCCTGTATCAGTGCTGCCCATCCTTAATTGTCCTTCAAGTGATGACTTAGTAGGCCATTTCAGAGAGCAATTAAAAGTCAACCACAATGCTGTGGGTCTGGAGTCACAAGTAGGCCAGACCATATAATAAAGGCACATTCCCTTCCCTAATGAGCATTAAAGAATTGGATGGGTTTTTAAAAACAATCTATAACAACTGTCATGGCCACCTTGACAGCAACTAGCTTTCAATTCCAGATTTATTAACTGAATGTCAATTCCACTAAATGTCCTGGTGGGGTTTGAACCAGTTCCCAGAAGATCTACCCCAGGGTTCTGGATTACTAGTCCAGTTCAGTTACTCTTATTAGGTTTTCAATCTGTCCAATTCCAAAGATTTTATTGGCATAAAGAAGGTTTGTCAATGAGTATATGTTCACAGGTCTGCTTTTGGATTGGAAAGTCGGTTTACACCTCCCTTTCATCTGCAAGAGGTTCAGTATTTGCTCAGGGAATGTAGTAAAAACCATTGAGAGCTAAGGGAAAGTAGTGGGTAGAAACACCTCTGCCTATCAAATTATTTATACTTTTGGTGTTCAGAGCAAGTAAATCTGGAATAATCTTGTTCAATTTATGATTACAATTGGCACTTTATCATGGCAGTTGCTAGAATTCTGAAATTTAGGAGATTATGTTTTGGGATTATCTTTTGGAATTCATTGGAAGCCATTGTAAAAATCAGGTTACAGGTTTTCCTGGATAAGCATTGAACATCAGACTGTTTGGACTCTGTTGGGTTCTGGAAGAGCAGGAGCAGATAGACACCAAGATGATCTTTATGGCTCACTGCATAAGAATACATTTGGAAACTCCTGCTCAGACTGAAAGGACCAAATTCATAGAAAGTTAATGCAAAGTTGGGAGAATTGCCTAGGTTTGGCAAAAGGCTGCAGGAACAGAAAACCCCATTGTCAAAAATCATTCTAAGTCACCATGCTGAGAAAAGAAAGGAACAGGAACAAACCTTCGGAAAACAAGAATCACTTGCATTTGTGGTAACGTTGAATGCCTACACAAAGGACAATAACAAGTATACCTCTGTGATGCTCTGTTTTGGATTGGGTCAATAAGAAGGGAGATCAAAATACAAATTGCCAACAGATATAATATTTAAGTGTTCTTAAGTCATTTGTTACTGTCAATATCTTAAAAAGTGAAAGCATGACATTCTTTCAACATTAACTGGATGCTAAAATTTGTTTTTGTTTTAAAACAAATAGGTCTCTCTGTGGAATATAACAGAATTAACACACGAAATAATAAGATGCTTAGGACCTGTGGAATCTGTTTCATGTTGCTACTTAACATTTTAAATTCAATTATAACAGATATGGTCAGAAATGCTGAGATAGCAAGAACTGCAGATGCTGGAGTCAGAGACAACACAGTATGGAACTGGAGGAACACAGCATGGAACTGGAGGAACACAGCAGACCAGGCAGCATCAGCAGAGCAGGAAAGTTCAGAAATGAAGGGTCCCAACATGAAACATCAACTTTCCTGCTCCTTGGTCAGAAATACTGATTTTGTTTTAAACTTCACTGCATTTAAAAATTTCAACTTCTTCCCTAGGATTAGTTTCTTCTATCCATTGAGGATTTTTTAAAATTTTGCAGCAATGAAAAGTGGAGACACAGACATGTACATTTTTTCTGCAAAATTAAACTAGGGCAGACTTAAAATTCTACAGCATTATGGCACAGAGACAGATAGACAGCTGGACCAAATCAGTCATTCTACCTCCATATTCGCAATACAGTAAAATTAAAACCTCCAAATATCAACAAAACTGACTCCTTTGGTTCCTAACCAGATGTTTTGAATAACCAACCCCAAACTATGCTAATAATCAATTCTCGACACCGGTTTATAGGCTTAAACAAATGATTTAGCAATCTATTAACAATTTAGTAGACCTAGAGCAAAATCAAACAATTAAGTAATCTAACTGGTCTATGCTATTAACCCAAAAACCTGTGTTTTCAGCCCCATTCACACAAGAGATGGGCAAACAAATACACTTAAAGAATCAATGAAAGAAATTAACAAAACTGGCCACATTACTAAATGATTTTCATATGTTGTTCCACAGGTATGGTGAGCACTACTTGGTTGATTTTCAGATGATGTCGATGAGGGTCACCTTCACACTTCACTTAGATAAAGGCAGTAATACTTATAACTTGATTTTATATTCTCTGAACTCCCAAAAGCCGTCGATAGGATAGGCAGGGAGCTTTCAAATCTTCAGGCTTTAGCATCAGGTGTCAGATTCCTTTGCACAGAAAAGGCAGTCCAAAACCCAATTCAAACTCTGACCACTCCTTTACAGACGGACCATCTCCTCCACACAAGTTTCGAGTTATCATTCAACATGTGCCACCTGCTTGAACGTGTCTTTTCCAGACTTTCTGGGACCAATTCCCAGGTACTGACCTTACCAGTAGACAACTTCCACTAACTGTTTAAACAACGCTATTGTCTACTGATGAAGGGGTTGTTGCCAAACTTTCTGATCAGGAACTAACCTGCAATTAACTTACAGGCCTGGCCTCATGAATAAACAAAAGCTTGTTTGATCTGTTTCCTTCTAAATCAAGCTGTTACCCAGTCCAAAAGTCGTCTTTAGCTCTCAGTTTCCAATGTACAGCTCCACATCAAAATTGACAGTAAATTAGCGAGGGTTTCAACAATAGATATTTGTATCTGTGCAGCAATGTTAATTTTGGTGATTCTTTCCCCTAAAGATCTCAGCTCAACTAGGTAAGGAAGCTAAAGAGATAAATGTCACAGGCAATTTCTGATTCTTACCTGCGGATAAGCTTACAAAATTCCAGTGCCGTACGTGGACAGCCTCTTTTCTCTAGGAATATCATATGCTTGTAGAGTGCAAGGAAGAATGACCTATGCCAGTATAAAGAGGGAAGAATATGTAAATCTGTATCATGAAGAAATTAGGTAAACAGTTAAAAATAAGCACTCTTTGTGGTTGAGATGAGGTAGTGGACCAGACAATAGCTAGACCAGAATTAAATTATAAAGCTATACCTAAGTTTGCAAGAAAATGCACGCATAGTAAATAAGTGTCATCTTATTCAATTCATGTCAATCAAAATTGCAATTGGTGTACAAATTACTAAATGCTCTGTTAATGCAAACTAAATCCAAAAAACTGCAGAAGCTACATTAAAAGAATTGCTTAAAGGAGATTCAAGTTCAGGTAGCCTTTTCTTTTCACCTACCAATTGCCAAGGTCAAAAATTAAATTAGATGTTTCGGACAACATTTTTTTTTAAAGCTGTTAAAAATAACAGACAATGACAACCTCTGCTCTATTTCAGTTCATTGTATAACACTGAATGAACAAATGGGACTGCCGTCGATACGTAAATCCTTCCAACATACATGTGTTCTGGTCCCCAGCTGGATAAATGGAGAAGGGTAGTTGTACGAAGGGAAACTGCTTGTGCAATTACCCAGTAAATCCAAAAAATGATATTTAACATCATGTTGATGAAATGCCATTGTGCTAACTGGATGTAACTTTGCTACAGTTGAAGCAGCACGAACGAATGGAGCTGTAGGTACTGAAATCAGCACTCAGCAGAGGAATGAGCACATGATTACAGTAACATACAGCATCCGATCAAGTCATGCTTGCAATTCAGTGAGGCAGTAATTCATGCTCCTGCTCAACTAGCTAAACCCAATACTATACCAATTTGTCTCAGCACAGAATGTTTTATATTTTAAAATTCATCTGTACCATGACCAACTGCAAGTAAATGTATCCCTTTGTGTTGCTGCTAACATAGGCCTGAATAACAAGAGTACGATCAGGGTAAGTTAACATGAAGAAAAGTCACTGATCAGATACATTAACTCTTTTTGTCTCCACAGATGTTTCCTGACCAGCTGAGTACTGCCAGCATTTAATGTTTTTATTTTAGAGCATTTGTATGGGTTAAGGGGCTGGTTCACTACTGCAAAGAACCAACACAGAAAAATACAGCTTCTGACAATTCAAACAGAAGCTCTCTACAGAAAAATTCCAACATTTTAACAAGTGTCATACAAACCTGTTCTCAGCTCGTCGATAATCTAACCGGCTATTTCCATTAGTCAGGCTAAATACTGGGTGAAATGCACTTTCAAAACAGTATAGTGCTTTTTCTAAATGGAGGAAAGTGAGAAAGCAATTATTAAAATATATAATGCTCTGGCATTTTAACTATTCCAACTCTAAAAGACAAGTTAGAAATTATCTCTCTAAGATTCCGTAAAATAATTTGACATCTAACATCATGAAAGTGTAGCTGCACACTTCCCATATATCGATTCAGTTTGTGCCAATGTGGAAAATCAGATGAGATTTTCAATGCTTTGAAGATTACAATCAAGTAAACAGGGCAAGACTTCTTTGATTAATTAAAGGGACAACAACAAGAGGACATAAATTAAAGATGATTACAAAAAAAGGGGGTTTGGAAGAAACGATTAATGGGAATGGTTAAGAAGATGACTGAAATGCAAAAAATCCATGACAAACAGTTGGAGCTGTTCATAAATTGTTTTCAAAGTAAATTATATTGTTCCTTTAAAAATCAACAGTTAAACAGCAACGGATTGAGAAGTTTACAAGAAAAACACTATGTTGGACTTAGCCGAGGTCTGCCTCTGTGTTGTAACATTTTACAACTCTCAGCCAAATTAAGTCCACCAAGAAATTATATATAATTCAAATAAATAATTCACAAGCCCTTTATGGACACAGATAATTTGATTAGTCCTATTTGCTAACAGAATAGTAACTTCAGTCAGGTTAGAACAGGCAAATAATGATCGGCTACATCAGTACCATTTATGGACAGTTCGCTACCCAGAAACAGAACTTTTCCTTTGTAGAAACAAAGGGGAAAGCACTACCGACTGGCACGGAACTACTCTTAAGGAGATGCATCATCAGTTTTGATCTGAAATTACAGCATGCCTCTCACCAATTAGATCACGTGCCATTTCCTGATCCTCTTGCATCCGACAGATGTCACTTAGTTGCAACAGAGAGTCGATATGATGTGGGTTCACACGTAGTAGTGTCTAGGGTCAGGGAAGACACAATTGATGATTCTAACAATTTCAGTTGGTTAATGTGCCAGACTGCGCAACTTCAACTCATGAGTCATGTTTAATGGGGGATCCAGGTCCTATTCATTTTAGCATTCAATTTATTTTGAAATCATATGCAATTAAGAGACATTGGTGAAAATGCATTTTCCTGATTGATTTATTTACTGATGGCTCCGAAGATCAGGAAATAGGGTGGCATGGGGGCTCAGTGGTCAGCACTGCTGCGTCACAGCGCCAGGGACCCGGGTTCAATTCCCCCCTTGGGCGACTGTCTGTGTGGAGTTTGCACATTCTCCCTGCATCTGTGAGAGTTTCCTTCGGGTGCTCCGGTTTCCTCCCACAGTCCAAAGATGTGCAGGTTAGCTGGATTTGCCATATTAAATTGCCTGTAGAGGTCAGGGATGTGTAGATTAGGTGGGATGCTCTGTATTTGGCCACTCAGCTTCTGACCTCATTACAGCCTTGGTGCAAACATGGACAAGAGTTGAATTCCAGAGGTGAGGCAAGAGTGATAGCCCTTGACATCAAGGCCGCATTTGAGAGTGTGGGTCAAAATCCTGGAATTCCCTCCCAAATAGCATTGTGGGTCAACCACACCAGGTGAACTGCAGTGGTTCAAGGCAGCAGCACACCACCTTCTCAAAGGCAATTAGGGATGGGCAATAACTGCTGGCCAACCAACAGTGCCCACGTCTCACGAGTGAATAAAAAATTAACGCATGGGTCTCAGTGGTTAGCTGCTACCATATGCATGGCTCTCTTTGTTTACAGGTTCTAAGTTCAGCTCTTGCTTGTTCAATGCAACTATAGTAATGGCAAAATAAAAGCCATATGAATTGAATATTTCAACTGGTACAGCATGATGCTTGTGAAGCAATCTATTTACATAGAGCTTGCATACAACTGGCTGAGTAAGTTTAGCCTATAAAAAATTGATTGTTCGACTCAGCAGTAAATCGAACATTTGAATGGCCACCAACTTTAACTAAATTTAATTTGACAGTCTTTTAATGACCTACCAGAATGTTATTTGGGTCCATAGAATCTACAGCATCCAAGAATTTGAACTGAACCTGTTGATAATCACGATTGTGTTCAAAGGTGAAATACTGAGCTCCACCCTTGGTCTCCAGCAGCTGCATAGAAATTCCTAAAAGCGACAAAGCAAGGGTTAAGGTCTGGACTGATTGCGATTTTGGATATGAATGGCACTAAATAGTGTGCAGCATCATGAATACATAGTTGGAAAAAAATTTCTTTGCGAGACAGAGAAGGGAAAGAATGAGCAAACATTAGAACAGATTAGTTTCAAAAATTTGCATCACTTTACAACAATTTCCCTTGCTGTAGTATTTATATTTCGGTGTCTGAGAGGACATTGAGCTTTTCACCGTACTTCAGTACCCATGATAATAAATCAAACATAACCTAGTTGAATCTACCTTAAATTGTACTGCACTGTGCAGTGTGAAATAATACAGTACAGGTAGCTAGAAAGCACAGAGTTTACCTGTTTTGGTGTATCGTGGCCAAGTATCTTTAGGTGTTGTGAGCCATGTACTCCTGTGCAATGAACGATGCCGCTGCTTTGACCTGATTTAGAGACATATTTTGGTGAGAAAAAAGTCAGTACTGAATATTTTAGTAACAGTTAGAATTAAACATTAATTTGAATAGAATTCAAAAACTTTAAATATTTTCCACAGTCATACATAAGACATTTAATTCCACACTAAATATAAATCAGATATTGCAAACTACATTCCATAACTCTGGGCTGGAAGAAGGTTTGTAGTAGAGTTCTCCAGGGATCAGGATTCGGACCCTTGCTTTTCCTGATATAGGGCACAGTTTCCAAGTTTGCAAAGCACAATGAACTTGGAAGAACTGTAATTGTGAGCAGGATAGTGCAGAATTACAAAACGGACATTGACAGGTTGGTGGTGTATGCAGATGAGGTACAAAGCAGAGAAGTAAAGTAATGCACTTTGGTTGGAACAACACTAAGGCAATAGAAAATAGGGGATACAGGAACAGAGGAACCTAGGTGCATACATGCACAGATCATTGCAGGCAGCAGGACAGGTAGAGAGAGCAGTAAGTTAAGAATACAATGTTTAAGAATACAGCTTTGTTAATACAGGTATGGAGGACAAGAGCAGAGGTAATGTTGTATTTGTACATGACACTTGTTAGGCCTCAGCTAGAGTACTGTGTACAGTTGTGGGTGCCACATTACAGAAAAAATGCTAATGCATTGAAGACAGTGAAGAAGCAATTTATTGGAATTGTTCCAGCTACGAGAAACTTCAGCTGAGGATAGATTGAAGTGGTTGGGGCTTTTATCCCTGGACAGAAGACAGCTAAGAGGAGATCTGACTGAGGTTTTCAAAACTGAGTGGGCTGCACAGAGTCGACAGGTGAATTTCCACATGTAAACAAATAAGAATGAGACGGCATAGATTTAAAATGACGTGATGTGAGAGAAAACTTTTTCACATTGCGAGATATAAAACTATAGAATGTAATATCTGGAAATGTGATGGAGGCAGGTTCAATTGAGGCATTTAAGAGGGCTATGGAATGGCTCTTTGGATAGTCATGGTATACAAAGATATGGAAGAAAAGGCAGAAGATTGACTCTAGATTAAAGAGCCAGTGCAGGCAATGATGGGCGGAATGGCCTCCATCTGCATTGTGATAATGCTGTGACTCTGAACACTACAATCCAAACAGGTTGAAAACAACAGACATCTTAGTTCACAATACCTGCGCAACAAACTAACTAACCTTTGATCTCCAAGAACTGCTCGAACTCCAAAGTATCTCTTTAGTTCAGTCTCTGGATTCAGATTCCTACAGGAAATGAAAATTTATTTACATTAAGTAGGAAATAGAGAATAATGAACATTAAAACAAAGGATTTGAGTTTGTATTGTCACTAATCACTAAGGGAGCGCATGACAATCAAACCATGCTATTCCCAGAGTCATCGCAAATGTTAAAAGTTTTAAAATAAATGCACAAAGTTCCACAATTTACCCTATTTTCAGGCAAAAGGATGATTGCATAGAAGTGGTTTCTGTTCTTAATAATAATTACTATTTATTACAAATACTTGGACTCTAGCTACAGGGAAACAGTCACAAATGGTCACCCTATAACATGACAGATTAAAACTCTAATCCCTTTGTAAACACCCCCTGTACCCCCCCACACAGGATTAAATAGAGTATGTTCACTGGTTCTAATTTACAAGCTGCTTTTGAGTTTACAAGAGACTCAAGGTGATTGGTTCACTTATGAAAAGTCTCTGACTTATCAGTTGTAAGTCAAAGTTTACAACAATTGATAGAAAGATAAAAAGCTTTTGAGTTTAAAATGGATTTGACTGCAGAGGACAAAGAGGCAGCTCCTGTGTTGGTGGAGGGGAGTACAACATTTAAAAGGCATCTGGATAGGAATATGAATAGGAAGGGTTGAGAGGGATATGGGCCAAATGCTGGCAAATGGGACTGGGTCAGATTGGGACATCTGGCCAATGCAGATGAGGTGGCCCGAAGGGTCCATTTCTGTGCTGTAAGACTCTATGACAACTCTCTACCTTGTTCGGCCACAAGTTGTTCAGTTACCCAAGAACCGATTACACAGTTGTTGGCAGGCAAAAGGCTTCTATCATCAATAATTGCTCACTAGTCCATAGACTAATCACTACCAAGCTGCACCTGCGCAGAGAGCCCCTGGGCTTCAATTCATCTGCAAACATTACAATTACTGCTTGTTCAGTTGTTTACACAATGCTTGCCCTAAGTTTCAGGTTACTTGCTTTTCAAAACATGCAGCAATCCTTTGAAACACTTGTTCTGAAACTCTTCTTTCTCATTTTAGCCACAACGATAAGAATCAAAAATAAACAGACATGCTCTTTATCGTTCAATGCCTTCTAAAATTTCAGAACTTCCGATATGCTTTACAACCATTTCATTACAAGATGCATTTAATACCAGAAACAGGAAAGGTAAATTTCCACAGGCAGCAAAGGGATAATCAGAAATAACCTGTTTTAGCGATATTACGTTAGATATTGACTCGGATACTATGGAAACTCCCCTGCTCATCTTAGAGTAACAGCATGAGATCTTTTAAATCTACACAAGGGTTCAAACGGTTTCAGTTGAACATCACATAAAAGACAGCACCTTGACCAAGCTGCACACTCTCAACTGATATTGGGTTTAAGTACATTGAATGGAAATCGAACCCACAACTTCCTCATGCTGACGAAAGAGTGCTACCACTTAGTCACAGCCTATACCCAACTAACTTAGCACAAAAATACCAACAATATACACAAATCGATGCTATCAAATCTATCAAATTGCCAAAATACCAAAGGCATTACAATCTTCAAAGATCAAAAATATGATTTTATTTTTTACCTATGTTCAACATAGAGCAATGGTCTTGATTCCGCACTGACTGTACGTGTTTGGTGATGGAAACCATTGGGCGTCTCAATCGCTTGTAGAATGCTGTCAATGTCATCAGTTGCAACTTCCTGTAAAAAGGAAAAACAAAGATTTAAAGACAACTCCACTTTTGTTTAAGATTGAACAGAAAGGTGACCCATTCAGGGCGAACACTGTAGATTCAAACAGCTTTCGACTAAACAGATTAATGTTTGCACAGTGAGCAAACATTCTGCTCACTTTCATTCAGTACTACATAACTGGAAAAACTGATTGTGGTAATGGAGCTGCCTAAACACCATTCAACATTACCTGGGCATCATCAGCAGTACTGTTGCGGTTTTTCTTTTTCTTTTTCTTCCGTTTGGGCTTGTTTTGTGAGCTTGTCTGAAAATTAAAGCAAATGTTTCTTAAGAATCTTCAAAGAAAAATTCAATAACGTTCCTCTTTAAATATATAAATAAAAACAGTAAAACTGAATTTGAAGCAATCATGTAACAGCAAAATCAATGGAAAGACAGGACATTTTGAACTTCAAGCACATCCACCACGTTTTTTGTGCAGTAATGCAAAACATTTTTTTCATGGAAAACCAGATCCTTGAGCTGCAGTGGAATTTAACATGTAAATTCAGATCAATTGTTACTGCAAGAAAATACATTTTACTTACACATTCAGACTGTTTTCAAAAAGGTAATTAGTTGAGCAATGACTTTAAAGATACAAATTGGGTTAAATACAACTCTTCGTCTTTGGAGTACATCATAGCCCTTTTCCAGAATATACATGAGCCATACCATCCAAACTGTAGTTAAACTTGGCACAGTGGAATGAAAATAAAGTTTTTCTACTTTGGAGTGAATTCAATCAGATTTAATCCATTAAAAGCTATGTTTGTACAAAAGCTCTACCACACAATTCCTCGAAGACTAGGAGATGAAGTACAAGTGCTGTAAAATTTAATATTAGTTGCTGAAATTTTACCCTCAAAACATCAGACTCATTTTCTAATTCTTCATTTTCTTTTTCAAGTTCTTCATTTTCTATATTCTGCATTGTTTCAATTTGATCATTCTCCCCAGGTGAAGAGTCGAGCCTAAGGTTTATATCATCTGACACCTCTGTAAGATGTTTGTCACTAGTTGCATCAGTTTCATCAACTTCACTTATCTACAGAAATAGAAAACAAGACAAAAACGAGTCATACTGCATGTAAACAGACCCTTCAGTCCAATTTATCCGCACCAACCATGTTCCCAAATCCAGTCCTACCTGCCTGCGGCCCAAATCCCTCCAAATCTTTCCTATTCATGTACTTATCCAAATGTCTTTTAAACATTGTAACTGTGCCTGCATCCACCATTTCCTCTGCAATTCACCACACATACAAACCAGTGTTTAAATCAAAAGTCGCCCCTCATGTGCTTTCTAAATTTTTCTCCTCTCACATTAAAAATATGCCCCCTAGTTTTGAACTCATCCACATTTGGGAAAAGATCTTTGTATTCACCTTATCCATGTCCCTCAAGATTTTATAAACTTCTATAACATTACCTGTCAACCTCCTCCACTCCAGAGAAAAAAGTAACTCAAAACCCTCCATTCCCAGCAACATCCTAGTAAATCTTTTCTGAACCCTCTCCAGTTTAATAATATAAACCAAAAGAACTGCAGACACTGGAAGTCAGAAACAAAATCAGAAATTGCTGGAAAAATTCAGCAGGTCTGGCAGCATCTGTGGAGAGAAATCAGAGCTAATGTTTCAGGTTCAATAACGATTCCTCAGAACTAGTTCCAGTTCCACAGATGCTGCCAGACCTGCTGAGCTTCTCTAGCAATTTTGCTTTTGTTTCCAATTTAGTAATTTTCTTCCTATAACAGGGTGACCAGAACTGTACACAGTACTCCAGAAGAGGCCTCAGCAATGTCCTGCACAACCTCAACATGATGTCCCAACTCCTATAGTCAATAGGTTGAGCAATGAAGGCAAGCATACTAAATGCCTTTTTAATCACCCTATCTACCTGTGACACACATTTCAAAGAATTATTTGAGATATCTCTGTTCTGCAACACTATCTGGGGGCCGAACATGAATTGTATAAGTCCTGCCTTTGTTTGTTTTACTAAAATGCAATATCTCACATCTATCCAGATTAAACTCGATCTGCCATTCTTCAGCACTGACACAACTGATGAAGATCTCTTGAATAACGTCTCCCCTATAGCTCCAATTATGGTGTCATCTGCAAACTGACTAACCATGCCTCTGGTACTGTCATCCAAATCATTTATACAAATGACAACCAAAAGTGGACCTAGTACCAATCCCTGTGGAACACAGCTGGTGACAGGGCTTCAGCCCTAAAAACAATCCTCCACCACCACCCTCTGTCTTCTATCATGAAGCCAATTTTGTGTCCAATTAGCAAGCTCGCCCTCAATTCCCCTCTGCCTTCCCCCGTGGTCCCTCACCCGCTGGGGCAGGTCTCCCCCGTGGTCCC